GGCCATTTAGAGTTATTGGTATCATCTTAAAGCTTGTTCATTTGTCTTGCTTTGAATGAAAAAAAAAATATTCATTTATCTTGAATACAAGCCGAGATATTTGCCAAAGAAGTAGATGGGGGTCACCTGTTTTCATAGGTAAAATTAGTGAGAAAATGGACGCCAATGATTAGTTATTTCCTTAGCTTAAGAGTCCGTGGTAACTGAAAATTTACATTTTTTGTGCCTTTAATCAACGTTTTTCAGAAAGATTCACACAAAAATGAGGTCTTCAACGGGCTTGAAAGGTGTTGAGCCAAAAAACAAAAAATTGATAAAAATTTACAAACCTGCGTAAAAATGAAAGTTTCTTCATTTAGTTTATTTTGACGAGAGCCTGATATTCCGCCACGCTGCCTCACATTTATATTTCTCTTATGGCTGTCTTTCGCCAAAGCCTCACAAAATAACTACCATATAAATATGCAAAGATATTGGGCTCATCGGTAGAAAGAGGCTCATAAAAGTGTTCATCCTCTTAAAGGAATAACATCTTTAAAAAGGCGATTTGCAAATCACAAAAATCTGTAGCCTAGAGTTTTCATTTAAGTCAGTTCAACATAACTATGCCGGGGTCAAAGTTGCCAGTATCCTTCCAGTGTGTACATGTATTACTTATTTACTCTCTCCCTGTACCGTCAAGGGCGCAAGGCAGCGATCAGTCGACGGGGGCATAACACATTTGCTGTCAGGAAGTAAAAATGCAGTATAGCATAATAACACGTAGCTAAATCGGCAGGACGAGGAAATGTAAGGCAGCGTGGTGGAATCAGGCTCTCGTCAATTTTTGGGCATGTAGAGTTATTGGTATCATCTTAAAGCTTGTTCATTTGTGTTTATTTGGATGAAAAGAATATCCATTTATCTTTAATACAAGTCAAGATATTTGCGAATGAAGGAGTTGGGGGTTACCTGTTTTCAGAGGAAAATTCAGTGAGAAAATGGCCGCCAAAGATTAGTTATTTCCTTAGCTTAAGAGTCTGTGGTAACTGAAAATTTCCTTTTTTTTTTGTACCTTTAATCAACGTTTTTCAGGAAAATCCACACAGAAATGAGTTTTGCAATGGGCATGAAAGGTTTTGAGTCAAAAAACAAAAACTTGATAAAAATTCAGAAACCAGCAGAAAAATGCAAGTTTCTTCATTTTGATTATTTTGACGAGAGCCTGATTCCACCACGCTGCCTCACAAATTTTTTCGTTATGTACACATTTTGCTGGGTACGTGATTTGAATACTGAGAATATAATGTACGCCTCCTTGTAAGCAAAATTCGGGACCTGAAAATTTCTTTGCTATCTTCTTGTTTCGCTATGCGTGTGTCATACTGCAAAACTGACTTACCTCCCCGTCCGGCCCCTACAAAGTGATCTGGTTCCGGGCGTTGTACTCCAGCAGCCTCATCTCGTCTGCGTCAGTCGCCCACGACTTGGCGTCTGCGATACACCGTCCCACCAAGAAGCGATCGTTGGCGCTGAGCACAAGGTCCATATCGGTCAGCAGTTCGCTTATTTTGGCCCCGGCAGCTCTGTTCGAAGAAAAACACAATAGAAAGATTATGTAATATTATATTGACGAAAAAAAAACAACTTTCAACGTCGTGGAGACTCCTTATTCTTTCCTTTATCCGTCCTCTTGTGCTGTTAGATGTTAACTTAAGGGAAGGTGCAATTTTTCGGCAACAGCAATGGTGGGTGGCTTCAGTTGTTGATAACAAGATGAATTCTTTTGGGGGACCCGCTTTAAAGACGCTATAATATAGATAACGAGAAATAATACATTGTCTTCGGAGCTACTCATACGTTATTGGACACACACACACGCCGGGCACGGACAGACTAAATTGCGTCCTCCCGACAAAAAACATATAGGGTCGATTCTGCGTTGGTATACATGCAACCATACTCAATTTAAAAAAATATTGCCTCCCTACTCCAGAAGCGAACTCGGGTCTCCTGTGAAGGACAGCGAATAATAATAATAATAACAATAAATAGCATTTATACTGCGCATTTCCATTTCCTAAAAGATGCTGAATGCGCATTACAACGAAAAAGACATCACATCTTAAAAATTAATCGACACAAATGTGTACGTAAAACAAAGTATTATACATATAATATAAATGCATATGTGTAAAATTTTATACCAGAAAAACAGTCAAAAAGAGTCAGACTACTACGCTAGAGTCGCCAGATAGAAGCTTAACTGCTGGGATGTTATATCACACTCAGTGGTCTTGTTTTTGTCCCGACAGGCAGGATCAAAGAGGCCCACCTGCAAATAGTTGACCTAAATCCTGCTAATGGCAGCATAAATCACATACAATTACAAATTCAATTAACAGAGTTAGAGAGGGCGGTAGGTGGGTGCTCTGGTGTGGTTTGCTTCTTCTTTCCTATCAAACATCTTTCGTCCTTATCTCCCCTTCTTCTTTTTTGTGTTTGTTACTCTCTTGTAACACCTCTAATCTTCTGGCTCTCATATGACCTTATGCAGTTGCGAGCGCCGTAAAACCTCTACTAAAACAAAACTAACAGTTAGACAACTAACTCACTGGACTCCCGCAGGGTCATTCCCCTGGAAAGCCGACATCATGACGTAGTAGTGGTAGAGGGAGATGACCTGCAGACTGTTCCTCGTCACGTCTGTGACGTCATACTGGAACAGCTGACTCTCCGCCAGGTCGGGAGAAGCGTTGACAAAACCCTCCCAGGCCTGGAAAAGGTCTCTGGGTTTGTACCAGATCTGAGGAGACATACAGAAAGGTGGGGTGAAAACGGCATATGTGTAACGCACGTATCAAAATTATTATGTTATTTAAGAGACGGGACCTCCGAGTTTACCGTCCATCTCCTGTAGGAAAGAGCCAAATGGGACATTCATGTAAAGTGCCTTTTCCAAGAACACAATTCGGAACGAACTGAGGCCCGAACCCCGGAGCCCCCGAACCCGCGATCTCACGATTACGACTCTGGAAGCCTTATACTTATAACCACTAAGCCGCCGACGCTACTCCGAGAAGG